CATTCTATTAAATTAAGATTATCAGCAAATTCGTCAAGCGAGGAAATCTTTCAAAAATCCACTCCTATGTATAATGAAGCATTAAAAAAGTCCGGTTTTAATTACAATCTTTCTTACCAACCTCACTTAAAATTATCTCAAAGAAAGAACCGTAAACGTAACATCATTTGGTTCAACCCCCCTTTTAGCAAAAACGTTAGCACGAATATAGCTAAAATATTTTTAACATTAATTGATAAGCACTTCCCTATAAATAACTAATTCCACATTTTTAACAGAAACACATTAAAAGTAAGTTATAGCTGTATGCCGAATATAAAATCCGTTTTAAACGCCCACAATTGTTATGTTATAAACAACAAGAAAGAATCAGCTGAAAATAATTGCAATTGCATAGATAAAAACACCTGCCCTTTGTCAAACCAATGCTTAACAAAAAATATAGTATATCAAGCTAATGTATGTTCCAACGACCTTGTTCAAACTACCATCAATAAATTTTACATTGGCATAAGCGAAACATCTTTTAAAATTAGATATGCTGATCACATAAAATCTTTTAAAATTCTCAAATACAAAAATGATACTGAATTATCAAAGAAGGTTTGGAGATAAAAGATGACAACTTGAACCCGGTTGTTAGGTAGAAAATAATTAAATAGTGCGATGCCTATAACCCTGTAATAAAACGATGTAACTTAAGCATAATCGAAAAGTACGAAACTTTATTTTTTAAACACCAAAATTTGTTAAATAAAAAATGTGAAACATTATGTGCCAGCATAAAAACAAATTTTTTCTTGCCCAATTTGACACTGGCGATTAGCAGTTTTACTACTATGCTTCTTTTTTATTTGTTTTGTTTTGACTTCGGAACTCATTCTACTGATGTTTTTGTATTTTGTATTTTTTAATGATTTTTTTTCTTGATTTGAATAATATAAAGGGCTGAAGATTGCCGATAGTCATGAAACTTTTAGTTTCATTATAAAGTTGTGTTTTTCTATTTAATTGTACTTTATATATTTTATATTTTTAAAATTTTCAAAACCACCCAAATTGAATTTTTTCCCATTCTAGTGTTTGTGTACATTGTAAAAAAAAGTTTTACTAAATTTTAATGACTATTCTAGATCCCCCTCAAAGCTCCTAAAGATAAGCCCTGATTTCCTGTTTAACCCATTAGTGCCTGAGTTTTTTGTTACATTTTACGATTTATAGAGCGTCATTTTTGACGAAAATAGTAGCACATTTTTGCATTGATTACAAATTTCATAAACAAGCAAATTAATATTATAATATTGACACAATTTAATATGTAATATTGATTGTTATAACTATTTTGCTGTTTCCTGTTTTAGTTAAATAAATTAAAACTGAAATATTGACAAGAAGTGGTAAAGTTGTAGAAACTGAACTCAAGTCTTTGCCAACCAGTTCCAGTTGTTTGTCAGACACAACCGACCAGCCTTCACCGTCGTCATCATCATCAACAACAAGGCCTGTTACTCGTGCCTCTACTAAGTTTTGGTTAATTGGACACCCATCACCATCAACAACTGGTTCCAAACTGCCTAATTGCAGACAAGTTTTGAAATTTTTTTCTTTTTTTACGATGCGATGAAGAAAATGTCCGAAATCATGTAACAAATCAAGAAATTGGCTATATAGTAATCGAAACTGTTGTAACTTTCTGGAACATAGCACGCATCAAGAAAAACACAAGACAAAATTCGGTGTTAGATCTTATGTGTCTCTGGAATGAGTGGAACCGCTTGTTGAAGAACAAGAATCGCGAAAGTGATGCTGGTGGAAAACGTGTAAACTTCTTGGCCAAGTTGGATAGTCCTTTTGATATTGGATCACCTGATGCTATACAGGAAATCATGAAATTCAGGCTACTGATTGCCCAAAAGAAAGATGATGATGTTGCATTCTATTTAAATAAAATAAAAAAGACAAAAAGGCGACCATGGACGGGCATGACAAAATCTTTGAGATTAAAGCAAAAATGAAAGAAGTCAGATATATTCGGAAAATCATACTTAGAGATGAAGAAAAAGAAAGAGTAGAAAAAGAAGGTAGACAGGATGATCAGGATGATGAGGACATGGAAGTTAATGACGAAGAACAAAATATTAATAAAAATATTGCTGTTGCTGAAGTAGATATTGCTTTAGGGTGGGACTTGAATTATGAACCTCCAATGAATAGACGATCAGAATTTGTTACTCTTCACCTCCCCAAAAGAATTATGCAATGCGAGGAAATCACTTCTGCAGCAGACAGGCTGAAATTGTCTGATAATAAAACAACTATGATCGTGTCTGCTGTAATTATAGCTGCTGGTGGAAACATGGACGATTTTGATTTCTCCAGATAGACATCTCGTCGAACTAGAATGATAAATTGACAGAGGATTGCTGAGAGTGTTATAGATAATTCAAGGCTCAACCCACCCCAGTTTGGTGCCCTTTATTGCGACTGAAAATTGCTAAAAGACATACTAGACGTGCAACATGAACAGTGCTTGGCTGTTGGGTGCTCAAGTTGATGTGGGTGTTGGGTGCTCAAGTTGATCAAGTGCTTGGCTGTTGGGTGCTCAACATGAACAGTGCTTGGCTGTTGGGTGCTCAACCCAACATTAGCTGTGCTTGTGTTGGGTGCTCCAGAATACAGTGAGGGAAAATTGCTTGGTGTTCCCGTTCTCGTTGATTCGAAAGAACAGACTCAAGCAGATGCAACATTGGATCTCCTAGAAGCTTGGGATCTAAGCAACAATGTTGTGGCATTGGTATTTAACACCACTGCCAGTAATAGTGCCATCCACAATGGTGCTGCTAAATTGATTGAAGAAAACTTAGGTCCAATCTTACCTGTCGACATCACATTTTTGAAATCTTTGTCGGAGCATGTTGGAAGAAATTATTTGGAAACATTTTTGGTCCAGAGAATAAATTCTTTGCTGAATTTGAAACTGCTTGGCCAGCATTGGATAAACAGTTGCAAATCGAAACTTTAGCTGTTGAAGGCATCTGGTTGCAAAACCTCAAAGAACAGACCATACAGCATTTGACACATCTACTTGCTAACGAAGATTGCTAACGAAGATTGCTAACGAAGATTGCTAACGAAGATTGCTTCAACATTTCCAAGAAATGACTATCGTGAATGTGCTGAGAACACAATGATCATCTTTGGGCAAACTCCACCGCGGGGTGTACACTTTCTTAAACCAGGAGCTATCCACCAAGCTCGGTGGATGGCAGGTAACATTTAAGCAAACAAAATGTTCATGTTTTCTAAACAATTACCTTATGATCAGAGGATGACGACCAAACTTTTTAGAATGAACAGATATCTTTCTCTTTTTCACACACCAGCTTGGACAAAAGCTAGCATTGGTGCTGATGCACCTATGAATAACCTGCAATTCATCCACGACATGATGGACTACAAAGAAATAGGCAAGGAAGTTGCTGATGTCATTCTTTCTAAAATAACCAATTACCGATGGTATTTGACAGAAAAGATAGTTCCATTTGCTTTCTTCAGCAAACATGCTAATTCCACTGTGAAAAAAGATATGGCAGCCAAACTCTTGGAAATTCCAGTACCCGAAAATTTTTGTCTTGGTAAGCCAGTTTTTCGTCAAATCATTCGTCAAACAGGTTTGTCAAATCTTCTGGGACCTGAATCTCACTCATTGTTCAGCATTCTTGGCATCAATACAGATTGGCTTGCTAAACCAATTGAACAGTGGACAGAGGAACCAGGATACAAAGAAGCTGAAAAATCTGTTCGTACGGTAAAAGTTGTAAATGATACCGCAGAAAGAGGAGTTAAACTGATTTTAGAATTTGCCACCATCATAACCACTGATCCAGAACAAAGAGAATGGTTGCTGCAGGGCGTTGAAAATCACAGGCAGAAATATCCTGATTTTGGCAAGAAAAACTCTTGGACAATGAAACAACATTAATAACATTCAGAAAGACAGTCTTAATTTTAGTTTTGGGGTTCCCGTCCGATACTTTGACTATAACTGTTAACCAAAAATACAGAACTACCTTGGTTAAACTGGATAATTTAACATATATTATGCAAGCTGTTTTTGTTTGGCTTAATTTCTGTGATTTAATTTCTAAATACTTGAAAAATGAGATTCACAATAATTATATATATAACATAAAAAATGCAATGAATGAGGTCGCTAATGCATAGATTTTGTTCAAAAAAAATAAATAATAATAATTGTAAGTTTTAATTCAAAAAAATGTTTATCACGGTAATCTAAAAGTTTTTTTGCTGTAAGAAAGTAATTATACATTTTGTAAACTTAAATTTAAAGCAATCCTTACATGTTTTTTTACACTTTTTTTCAAGTCCATTTAAAGTTTTTCAACATGTTATGTATAAATCCACTTTAAGCGAAGTTTCAAACATGTTTTATATAAATCCACTTTAAGCGAAGTTTCAAACATTTTTAATATATATTCACTTTGAGCGAAGTTACATACATATTTTAAATTAAATCACGCAAAAATAAATCCACTTTAAGTAAAATTTTTTTTGCATCTTTCAAATAAATCCACTTTAGGCGAACTTTGAAACGATTTTAAAATAATTTCACTAAAAGTTTGTTTTTAAACATGTTTTAAGCAACATTTAATATATAAATTCACTTTACGCGTTTTTTTCAATTAAAATCTAATTAAAGCGAAGTTTTGAACGTGTTTGAGAAAACTGCTTTTAACAGCCTTAAAAAAGCTACAATCACATAATGCACAGACAGGCCCGTGCGGTAGATTTTCTCAGTATGAGGCAATTCTTCGAAATGCCGCCCCTTAAATGTTTTTCTTTAAAATAACCTTCGATTGTGATTTAAAAAAAAACTGCACAAAATGTACGAATTCTACTTTTTATTTTGAAATTTTAAAATAATGATTTCAACTATAAACTACAACAATGTACAGTATTACAGCTTTACTCTTCTAACTTTAACTTTCTAGCGTTTTGTCATCTATATCCTTGAGTTTTAAAATGTCATACAAGAACTGAAATTTTTTGCTATGGGTTTCCAGAAGCGTGAATCGTTCATTCAGAGAATTAAGGGTAATGTCCAGAATATAGTTGAAAAAGTTTATTTTAAATTTTTTCTCCTCTGTTAAGGGTTCATCGACAGCTTTTTCATAGTCAAATTGACGCTTTTTCCTTCTGGGTCTAACTTCAGTGTCATCAGGAAATTCTGTACTGCATTCGAGATTCTCTGCTATCTCCTTTGCAGCAATTTTTATCTGAATATATCCAGATTGTCTATAACTTTTCACTTTTTTTATGGTTTCTGATAGCATCCTTACACAATCTGATATATTTATAGTAACAGATTGCAAAAGCTTCGAAACTGAATTAATTTCAAACAAAATATCATGCCAAAGAATTACTCCACATATAAACTTGTAATTTTTAATATTTTTTGCTAACCCTCTCGCTTTAACTTTAGTTTCTGCATCTCTATTGACGTCTTCTATTATCAGAATCAATGCATCATAGATTTCGCAAAGTTGAAATCGTAAAGGTTTTAAAGCATCTATTCTGCTTGCCCACCCAGTAGCACTTAATGGTTTCAGAGTTAATTGAGAAACATATTTTTTTAGCACTTCCCAACGCTTTGTAGAACCAGAAAAAAAAGTGTAAAGTTCTTGTACAATAGAAAAAAAATGTTGTTTCTGTTGTAGAAGACGCTGCATCATTCACAACAAGGTTTAAAGAATGGCATGCGCAGGGCACATAAAAAACCCTTGGATATTTTTCAAGTATTTTACTTTGAACACCCTTTCTTACTCCTTTCATATTGGCTCCGTTGTCATAGCCTTGTCCCCTAAGCCACTTTAACTCAAAACCTAATTTTTCCAAATGTGTCAGAATAAGTTTTGCCAAACCTTCTCCGGTTGAATCACTAGCTTCAAAAAAACCAATAAAGAATTCTGCAATTTCATATTTATTTTGAATGGAGTTAAAAGTAACAACTCTTATTGTTAAGGAGAGCTGTTCATAATGACTGACGTCAGGGGTAAAATCAGCGATTATAGAAAAATATTTAGCGATTTTTGTTATTTCGACAATTTTTCTTAAAATTGAATTTCCCATTAAATTTATCAATTCATCTTGTATATTATTGCTTAGATAAGTCACTGACCATTTATCAGACTCTCGTTGAACTCTCCTGATATGTTCTTCCATAACTGGATCAAACTCAGAAAGTAATTCTACCAACTTTAGGAAGTTCCCGTTATTAGGTTGAAACAAATGTTCAGTTGATCCACGAAAAGCTAAACACTGTGAGGCCAATAGTTTAATTATTGACATAATTCTTTTTATAACTCCTCTCCAATGCTGAAGTTCCATATCCATAATTCGTTGATATTCAGCGTCAATAGTTTTTTTCTGCTTCAATCGAATGTCCAATTCTTTCCATGCTCTAAAAGCATTTCTGTGATTTACAGACTTTTCGTGCATTGTGAGGGCTCTTATAAGATTTTTCCAGTCAGAATAGCCTTTTTTGGGCCAGTCACTAATATCAGACGAATTATCAAATAATATACAACAAAAGCAAAAAACGGCATCACTTGCAATAGAGTAAATAAGCCAACTTCTCTCAACGACTTCACCATTGCTCAACACTTTCGAATAATACGAGGGCAAAAATCTACGCTTTCCTTTATTAATAGGAAACTCGAATTCTTTAATTTGATGGGGGCCCCTCTCAACCAGTAGTTGACGAGTTTGAGATGACATGCAGAAAGTAAGCCATAATGCAGGATCTGAAGGAATTTCTTTTAATGCCTGCTGACTGCCACTGCTAATGCGGCCCGGTTCTTGATGAACTTCTGATGATGTTATTTTTTGGATCTCTTCAACAATTTTTTCTGGAATTGATTGGGGCGGCACTGTGTTGTTATTTGCCAAATCAGTTGCTGCTGATGTGGATGGCTTATCTAAACCGCACTTTTGTACTAAGAATTTCTTCATAACATTGCTGAGCTTTCTTTCTTGTTCCTCATTCTTTAAGCGTTTCTTTTTGTATTGACTTCCAGATAATTTTTTTCTTTTTTGTTCCATGCTGACGATTGCTGTCACTGCTGTAATAAATTTTTGTAAAAATTTTGTAAAATCTTTGTAATGTCATCATGTTTTTAACAGTTAAAAACATGATGACATTACAAAGTTAAAATTTAACTTGCAAAGACAGGCAAACACAAACGTTTAAAAACGTTTGAAAACAGTATTTTGAAACATAATAAGAAAATAGTCCACGCTAATATGCGTTTCAAAACGTTTTTATTCATATTGAAAGGAATAGCAAAAGCGAATGCTAAATGAGGGAGAAATTTTTTTTTTATTTTTATAGAATAATGTGGACAATGAAAAAACTTTTAAAGTGATAAAAACATTCACGAGTTTGGTAGTAATTAAAATTTAAATGAGTCCAGTTTATGATTTAGTACCTAATTATTATTGCAACCCTGAAATTGCATTTTGATTTCGCTACTTTGCCGCCCCTTAATGGTGCCGCCTGAGGCGGCCACCTCTTTTTATCATAGCACCGCACGGCCCTGTGCACAGATTTTTTGTAAAAATATATACCAAAAAAATTGTTTAAAACAATTAATAATCACGAGCAAAAAAAACTCGTTTTTTTTTAAAAAAACTTTTTTTTTAAGAAACCAAAATAGCAAATGCATATTTTAATTGTAAAATATCAGAAAGTTGTAATGACCCTCGCTACGCCACTGATAAGTGCAATGTGATTTTTTGTGCGTTTCAATTTATTTTTATTTTTTAAGGAAATCCAAAATTATTAAAATAAGTGCTATTACGTCCCGTTTGTTTAAAGATTCTCAATAGTGTTACAAGTTAAATAAGACTTTGTTTTTTGTTTTTTTTTCTTTTGTTATCTTATCAAATTATAATTGCTTTTTTTGTTTTAAACATTTTTTTGAAATTTTTTAATTTTTTTAAAATAGAAATGAAAAAATCAAATTATATAAAAACATTTTTCTTTTAAAATAAGTAACAGAGAATTGTCTACTTAAGTTTGTTTTGTTATATTTTGAGATTTTGTCTCAATATATAACAAAATATATAAATTTTATATAATATATTAATAACTATTTATTATTTATTTTATAATAATAGTTATATATATATGAAAAAAATATATATATAATTAATTATTTATTTATTTTATTTATCAAAAATAAATATCGTTATAAATGTAAATTGCAAGATAGCCGATAAATACATTAACAATAATAAATATATATACAGTCAGAGAAATAAGTATCTGAACAAAACATTTTAATTAAAAAAAGGGTAGGGCCCAAGGGTAACTTGCGTTAACTTGCGTTGCTAAAATTTAACGATTCCCATAGGAGTGTTAAAATTTCAATAAAAATTAATTATCCGAACATGTGTTTTGTAAACGACGTTTTGAAATTGATTATTAAAAAAAAGTTTTTAAATCAATAGTTTTAGAAATATTGTTGTTTTACAACAAGTAAGTTTTTTTAATTGACTTTATATATTTTTTAAATCATTTGGTTTACCATTGATATCATTAAGTATGGAAGTTAAAATCAAGGAATAGCCCCAAGCTCAGCGCAATTTAGTTATTGACTTGTTCAAGCATGGTATAACATTTAGGTTGATAAATAAAACAACTGGAATGGCATTAGGAACCATCAGCGATCTGATTAAAAAGTATAATATGTTTGGATATGTGCAAAATCAGCCAAGATTTGGAGCTAGGCGTAAAACAACATCAAGAATAGATCGACAAATTGTCAAGATGGTGCAAAAAAACCGCTTTTTATCAGCACCAAAAGTATTAAGCATCCTTAAGAAATATTTCGGGTTACAAGTGAGCTCATGTGCTATTCGAAATCGATTTAAAAAAAGTGGATTCAAAGCAAAAGTTCCACGCCAGAAACCATTCCTTTCAAAAATCTATCATAAAAGAAGAATTGCATTTGCTAATAAATATGTAAATATGCTGGTATCATTCTGGAGGAAAGTTTTATGGACAGACAAGTCATAATTTAATCTTGTAAAGTCCGATGGAGCTCACAAAGTATAGAGAAAAAAAGTTGAAGCATTCACACTCAGCTGTATTCCAGGCACAGTAAAATTTAGAGGAGGCAATGTTAGGGATCGTATATAGAGTACGTATGCTCGGAGAGTAATAGGGGGTCTGCAAATGGCGTATTTGAAATAAGGGGGCAGTAGATCAATTATAAAAGTATGGAGACACTAAATTAAAAAAGTATCATAAAGTGTTTTGTTGGTAGGTTAAAAGCATAGGTACTTTTAGGGAGGTAGAGGGTACTAAAAAATTGCGCGAGGGGAGGGGGAGTAAGCAAAATAAAGGCGTACATACTTCTTGAACAACCCCTTACGGTATGGGGATCGATGGCTTGAAACGGAACAGAAAAATTGGAGTTTATTGATAGAATTATGGACTCTGAGGTTTATGTTAACATTCTCAATAAAAATCTTCTGGCTACAACTAAAAAACTGCGATTAGGAAAACATTTTATCTTCCAACAAGACAATGAACGTCGAAGAAAGCAAAAAAGTTTTTTATCCAATAGCAAATTGAGTTACTTGAATGGCCAGCACAAAGTCCAGATCTTTATCCCATTGAACATCTCTGGGCTAATCTGAATAAAAAATGTGGTACACGATGTTTAAAAAAAAAGAAGATCTAAAGATTATGCTCCAAGAAGCTTGGGCTAATATCGGTTCAGATACGACAAAGAAATTAGCTGAATCGATGCCATGTCGACTTGCAGAAGTCATAAAAGCTAAAGGCGGCCCAATTTAAAAAGTCATAAAAATAATTACTTGAAGAAGCGTTAGTCTTTAAGCCTTAATCTTTAATATTTTGTTCGTATACTTATTTAATGCTAAAAAGTTGCATAGTTTAAATGTATTTTAGTTTTTTATCAATTAAATATTATTATTGATAATTTTTTTTTTTTGCGTATTGAATTCGTAATTGAATTTTTTTTTTTAAATAATCACTTTTTTTATTTTCATAAAGTAATTTTTTTCTGAAATTACCTGACAAAGTTTATTTTCTATAATAAAATGTTTTGTTCGGATACTTATTTGTCTAACTGTATATGAAGATTTCATTTTACTTTAGTTTAGTAATGTATCCAACATCTTTAATAAAAAACCAATCATTATTTGCATGGACATTGCTGGGGAGTCCAGTTTCTTATTTTAAGTTTAAATTCCTTCAAAGATGTTTTACAATTATTCAGGATTAGTTTCCAAGTTTTAGCTCCTAGGTAAGACAGAGATTCCAATCCATATTTTGTTGTACGAATATTGATGAAATTTGGCTTTTCATATCTCCAGAAACTTAAAAACTTCATTTATAGATATAGGCGTAATTTGTAATTTTACTTTGAAAATCTCAGTGACCAAACTATGCAGGATTTTTTGGTGTATAGTTAAAGTACCGCTGTTTAGAGTCAGGGCCGTCCCGAAAAAAGATTTTAAAGGATGGGGGGTGTTGATGTGTCTGTTTTTTGCCGTTGATGTGTCTGTTTTTAGCCGACTAAACCTAAAAAAAATTTTTTGGATCGCTAACTTATCTAAAACAAAATAATAAAAAAAAAGGTCTTCGTTTTTCGATATTTGCCGACTGTCAACTATAGATCCAATTTTCCGACCAAAAAAATCCCCCCCTCCCTTGGGACGGTCCTGTTTAGAACTTCAAATGGAGATTCATAGTCTGTGAAGATAATTCTTAAAGATCTCTTATGGGTTCGATTTATGCGCTTATTTAGTACCTTACTGTGAAACATCCATATAAGTGAACAGTATGAGAAGTTTTGAAGTTATAAATGCAGAAAGTATAGGTTGAAAGACGTATATGATGCGATTCTTAAAAGTGCGTTTTCTGCTGGCATATTTGCATAAAGTGTTTACATGCTCTTCGAAAGAAAGTTTGTTGTTGAGTTTTATTCTAATTAATTTAACATTTTTGGATGTTATATTATATTTTAAGATAAAATCTCAAAATATAACAAAACAAATATAGTCTACTTTTAAATTTTTCCTTGACCCCACACATTTTTTTAAAATACTAACAAATGTTAAATTTTATAAAATGAATGAAAATTAGCATAATAAAAACAGATTTTTTTTGAATAAAATAACACTGCATTGCAAAATTTAAAAGAATTATTTAAGTTTAATATATATACACTGGTTTTGCAATAGGTTTTTTTAAAATAGAGGTTCTTTGGTCAATTTATACACCACCAGTGTATATTGAAAGTAGTAAAACATAAAGTTTAATTTTTTGCAAGATTTACTTATCTTTTTAATAACAAATATATTTATAAGTGAAATATTTTTAATAATAGTATGCGTTAGACGCCACATATACTTTTAACTCAAATATAAATCTTTTATATTAACGGTGAACAATTTATAACATTTTTTGTATAAAATGTTACATATTAAATAAAAAAACCTAATATGAAAAAAAATTGCATTTATTGGCCTCTGGACAATCCCGATGGCTTGAGGCCAGATTAAACTTAAGGCAATCTTACACACCGATTTTTTTAACTATTTTTTATTTTACTATTATTATTTTTTATTATTTACTATTATTTTTACTTTTATTTTTTATTATTTACTATTATTTTTAATTTTATTATTATTACTATTATTTTATTATTTACTACTTTTTATTATTTACTATTATTTATTACTATGTAGTATTTTAATATCAAGTTATATTTTTACATGTATTAATAAAGTTATAACAATTTGAGTTGGAAAGAAAAATCTAATTTTGACCAAATTTTTTAAAGAAATATATTTATATATAAAATTTATGACTTAAGACTTCATATATTTTATTTTTTGAATTATTTAAAGTTAATATTTTTTTTCAGCACCCAACATAAATCCAAACAATCATTTTAATGTCAATAAATAATTAAGATATAAAAACAAGCAATAAAAAGAAAAAATATTTTATTTTTCCTTTTTATCCAAGTGTATTTGTTCTATAAAAACAGAAAAAAAGAATGCATAAAATTGGGAAAAAATGCTTAAGATCACAGATGGGGCAAAGTGTAAAAACTGAATGTAAGCTGTTTAGAAAACATGATTAAAGAGTTTAACTTGACAATAATTTTTGCACACTGGTTGCAAGTTGTTTGAATTTTATTGACTTATGCGCCATAAATGCATTAAAATATTATGAACCAAATTTTTCGAAATCTTTTTTTTTTAATTTTGTTGAAATTATTTGAACTCGATTTAATTTTGTTTTGCGATGGGCATTTAAAACACTCAAATGGTTTTAGGCCCCTCACTTTTACTCTTTGCTCATTTTTTGATCCTTAGCAATTTTTACCAATTGCATAAACGCTCTTTTCTATTTTTATAGAATAAATAGTATTAAATTGTTTTATATTGTAACATGCATCTAAAATGCTAAAATAGTTTAAAACCCCTTTAATTTTACTGTTTTGCTTCATTTATGTCTCTTAGCATTTGGTTTGGATTTTGCAAGAGCTCTTTTTTATTACTAAAATTTTGCTAAAGCCCTTTTTTAATATTATTTGTTTTCTTTTGTTTACATATTACAGGTATTAATAAACTTTTGAAGGCCAGAAAGGGTAGAGGTAAGAAGTATTATTTCATCATGTTGTTGTATAAGTTGTATATGTTGTATATAATGTCACATTTTGTTCATATGTTCAAAAATATTAAATGTGTTACTCCTAAAATGATTAACCGGTTAATCAAAACAAATTAGAATGAACACTAAACCAGATTTTTATTTTAAAAACTTTTTGGGCTACGTACAGTTTAAAGTTTATTTTGCGGCAACTGAATTTTTAATCGTACTAAAAGGACCGAAGGTATGAAATAAACTACAAACTAATGAACACCAAACAGAGGCAGATCTGCAATAAGAGTTAGAGAGATTTATCATTATTATTTATTAACTGGAAAAAACATTTTTTGTTTATTAATTTTTAATTTTACGAAACAAAAACTGTTAAAAAATAAGACACAATCTTAGCTGACGATCTTAGCTAGACAGGTTGAAATATTAGAATACAAATTTTCTAATTTTACTGAGGCTAAAAAGGAAACAAGATATAATAGAGTTAACATTATATAACGTATAAATATTTTTACCAATTCACCAATAATAAAAACCATATGCTGTTTACAGGCACAAAAAATATATCTATAAACAGCACATTTATTTGTGTCAGTTAAATAATTATTAGGACAATTAGTAACACAACACTTTAAAAATAGGGAAAAAGACGGGATAAATAATTCAACCCTTTATTTTGAAAGATAATAAATATTCAATTTTTCTAGAAATAAAATGCCATTCTTGGTCCTTCTTTATTAATATTTTAAATTACGATTTTCCAGAATTTTTGATGCATTAATGTTGGCTGATAACATAAATTTATCTAATCGCCATCAATACAAAACTATGAAACTGTGAACGATGACCTCGAGAACCTAAATATCTGGTTTATTCTTTTCACTCTGAAAATAAAACTAAAAAATCTAATAATTAACAAAATCAACTTTATTAATATGTATAAAATGTAAACGTTAAATGTCAATAATTGAAAAAAGTAGATAAGGGAAAATGGCTTTTCATATAGCAACTCAACAAAAAAAACTTAAAAATAGGTGAAAACGAAACAATAACATCTTGTATTTTAAAACACCAATTGTTTTTTAAAAAAAAATATTGTTTACGCAACTTTATAAGCGTAAGTTTACTTTTTGCCTTTAAAAAAGTACGTTCCTTTGGGTTAGGGTTGGGCGGGGCTAGTTGGGCAATTTTTACTAAATTTAACAGATCTCTTAAACGGTACATCCGATTAATATATTTTTTTCACTATTAGAAAGATAATTTGATCTGCTAAAAAATGTTCGAGACAAAAAAACTTTTTTCGAAAAAAAAAATATTGTCTAAAGTTTATTAGGCTGCTCAACCTACACCAGCGGGGTAATTGCGTGGGGTAAGTTGAGCAATAAAAAAATAAATGCATTTCAGTGACAACTATTAACACTGTTATAAAACCAAAACAAAACTTCCTTATAAATTAAATAGGTACTTTCAATTTTAACAAATTATTTAAGATATGATTATCAAAACTAATAACTTTGATACTAAAATAAAAACAAAAACAAAACTTTTTAATCTTAAAAATAAACACAACTTTTTTAAAACATTTTAAAACTTGTTAATATTATGATAAAATAATCACTAAACACTTTATGTTAGTCTTCAATTTCCATTTTGCAGTTAATACAAAAATTTTTTTTACCAGAATGTGAATCACATTTTGAATGAGACCATTGATTGCAACCTTGACACTGGACCCAATTTTCTTCTGGTAGTCTTTCAGAATAAGTTTCCCAACATACAAGACAAGCATAATCATGTTCTGCACTTGCCTTTAATTTTTTTGTCATCTTAGTTTCTTTGTTTGATTGTTTTAATTTTTTGTAATATACTCAGCAGCAGAGTCTCCTTTTTACCATGATCTGCAATGGATTGACTGGTAGAACTTTTTTTTGGTTTCTTTAAAATTTCTTTCTTCTCAGTATTTTTGTTTGTTTGTTTCTTATACTATGTAGCTGAGTCTCTTTATTACCACACTCTTTATTAATACTTGAAAGGAATTGACAGGTAGATAATTTTTTTTGTTTCTCAACTTTTTTAGGTTTCTTAGTTTGCTGCTGTTTTAATATAATTCTTTTTGGAGTATCTGTTAGAATAACAGCTTTCCTTTTTCTTCGTCTTGTCAAATGTATCTTTCTTAGTGCTGCTTTTGGGTAAGGTCACACAGTTTCTGGAGAAAATGCTTTAATCTTGAAAACCCTTTGTAATGTTATTACACGTTAAAGCTAATGGCAATGAATCAGATAGAATTTTTGGTATATCATAAATTGTTATGGCTTTTCCAGGATTGTTTCTCAGCCATGCATCTTGTGCAACTGATAGGTAATTTTTAAAAGTTCCAAACACTGATACATCTAGTGGCTGCAGCTTATGGCTGCAGTGTGGTGGGAAAGACAACATGACTATTCCATTCTCCTTGGCTAAGTTTAGTGTTTCAAAATGCAAGTGAGAAGAGTGATTGTCCAAAATTAACAGAATTTTATATTCATTTGAAGGCTTCACATGCCTAATCAAATGCTACATAAAATATTTAAATTCAATATCTGTAACCCAGCCACTTTCATTACTTACCCCAATACAGTCCGGTGGACCATTATTAACAAAATAATCTTTGTAATTTTTGCAAGGGAACACAAACATTAGAGGTACTGCATTTCCTGAGGCAGATATAGTGGTTACCATTGTGACATTATTGCCTCTTTCCCCAGATGTCATAGCACCAACATTTCTTTTGCCCTTTGCAGCCACAATTTTACTAGGTTTTACAACTGTAGATACACTAGTTTCGTCAACGTTCTATATTTGTGAAGCACTGAATTTATATATATCCATAACTTCACCTAGCTTATCAAAAAATACTTTTACATTGGCAGCGTTAAATGATGTTGCCCTACCAAGGCTAGTTGCTTCAGGTTTCCTTATAGATAATTGAGGATTTCTTTTTGAAAAACTAGTCATCCACTTTTTACCAGCCATCTTATTTACTGTCCAAGAATATGGTATTTTGATTTTGTATTGAAGAGCACACTCACAAGGCCGGCGCGATAGGGGTGTGTGACACCCCCCCCCCCCCTATCAATGGTTTTTAGTCGGCAAACTGGACCCTTAGTGTGCAAATCGGACCTTTTTAGACTAGTTAGTCGGCAAATGTAAACCCTTTCAATATAGGTTAGACAGTCGGCAAATGTCGTAATGGCAGTCGGCAAATTTTGGAAAACGAGGACTTTTTTTTTTTTTTTTAGTCGGCAGGAGTATAGCCGTAAAATATAGTTGCCATTTACAATAAATAATTTTTTAAGGCGCTTTCTTGCTCTTGGGAAAAAATTAATCTAGGTTTTGAATAACCCATGGATGGGTAACCACAACAGTTTAGTTTTAAAATATATCTTGCTAATGTCATTCTCTTGATGTCGAATTCTTTAGCAGCTGCACTAACACTTTTTTTCCCCTCCAAAACAGAACTTGCTGCATCACTAAGCTGTTGGCTTGTGAAGGCACCATTTGAAGTTTTTCTTTTATAATTACGCATCCTATAATGTATATATATATATATATATATATATATATATATATATATATATATATATATATATATATATATATATATATCAGTGGCGGATTGAGGTTTAATGTCGCGGGGGGGGGGGGGTTGGGTTGGCAAGTCAATGAATAGGGACGACCTATATTGGTTGTATATTGGGGTTGTCTTCAGTAATTTGATCTAAATAATTTTTTTTTTTTATTGTTTAAGGGGGTATATATATATATATATATATATATATATATATATATATATATATATATATATATATATATATATATATATATATATATATAATATATCTGTGTATTTGTGTGTGTGTGTGTGTGTGTGTGTGTGTGTGTGTGTGTGTGTGTGTGTGTGTGTGTGTGTGTGTGTAGTAATATTAAATAATGTATATAAATTATTTATATATTGTATAAATAATCAATATGTTTATATAATATAAGTTATTAGTTACATGTTTTTTAAATATGCACACTATTATAATATTATCATAATAAACATAGTAAACAAGATTAATTTTAAAAAATTATTCAAGAACATTTCAACCTGAAGATTTTATTGACCACGTAATATTGAAGTAAAAATATTTTAAAAATATTAAAAAATCAAATAATTTTAAATTATAAATACATATAAAAAAAAAAGGTTTTAAATATTACCTTATAATTGTTATGAGTATTTTATTATGATTAATTTAAAAATGTGAATGGACCTTAAAGTATTCACCAAACGAAATTTTATCTTTGTGTCTGATAAAGCCGTTTTATTAATTGTTGTCAAATCTGCTCAACTTACCCCTACTAGACAAGGCGACACATCAGTTAGGTTATAAAAAGAACTATAAGGCTTGGGGAAAAAGGATAAGTATAATCAATAGCTAAATAAATGGGTAACATGTAAACACTTAAGTGATTCCAAATAAATGTTTTTTTAAGCATCTAAGAGAAAAATAGCAAAAAAAATTTTTTTTACTTTTTTGGTCCAAAATCGAAAATTTTGAGTATTTTTTGAGATATTTTAGTTGCCCAACTTGCCCCTATGCTCAACTAGCCCGGCTCTACCCTATTCATAATAAATGGTGTCGAATGGAATTTTCGGGTGTAATTTTTTTGTAATAGATTTTTTGACGCCTGTTTATTTTGTGTTTGTTTAGTTAGATTAGTTAAAAGTTTTTAGATTTTAATAAAATTAAAATCAAAAATTTCGCAATTTATGTTAGTTCGCATTACTGCAAACTAACATAAATTTGACGCACATAAACCAGTTCACCCATATTGTAGAAGGAAAAAAACTTTTAAATATATATTATGCTGTTAAAGAAATGTATATTCTTTAAGATGTAATTTAATTTTTTTTTTATTTTGTATTTTATGAATTATATTAAAATAATTCACGCATTAACATTTAGCATAAAATTGGGGACGACTGATTAAGTGCAAAATTCATGAAAGCCAATCTACATAAGCGCAAACTGCCTTAAGTGTGAACTTGCATAAGCGCAAAATGGCATATGCACAAACCAGTATAATTTAATTTATGAAAAATCTGCACTTATTCAGCCTTTTGTAAATCTGCATTTTTGCATGGTTTAAGAAATTTAATTGAAAGTATTATACTTTCAACTAAATTTCTTAAACCATGTTAGAAAAATGGCCTCAAATACATATATATATATGTATATATATATATATATATATATATATATATATATATATATATATATATATATATATATATATATATATATATATATATATATATGTATATATATATATATATATATATATATATATATATATATATATATATATATATATATATATATATATATATATATATATATATATATATATATATATATATATATATATATATAAATGGAAATTATATGTAATTAATATTGGGAAGCTATTTCTAATTTGGGAAAAAGCGGCTTCACTTTTCGAATCGAAGTTAGACATCTAGAGTATATTTCAATGACGTAAAGTATATTGATACATTCTTTAAACGCGTATTATATTTTCAACTACATTTCTTGGTTTAACAAATTTAGTTGAAAGTATTATACACGTGTGAAGAATAAGGATGGAATACAAGAAGCGAACATGATTCAAGCTCGACTTGAACTTTACATTGCATTACTTTCTCTGTTTACACAACATAAGAATTTTACAGATTCTACTACATAATATAAAATTTAACAAAATAAGTAAAACAGATAGGCACTCAAATAAGATGAGAATGACAGAACGTCATCGCAATCGTTTCATAGAACCCCTTTAACTAGATTTAATTAAATCAATTGGTTACAAAGTAAAGTTCAAGTCGAACTTGACTCAAGTTTGGTTCTTGCATTCCAACCTAAGCTTATGATCACTGTAAAGTTATAGGGTAAAGGCGCCTATGATGGCATAGCGTCTATGGCAGCATACTAGGCCGGTGCGATGAAGGGGTTTTGAGGGCGAGGGGGGGGGGGAAGGTGACACCCTCTCCCCCCCCCCCATTAATAATTTTTAGTCGGCAAAACCGACCCTTTTTGACTAGTTAGTCGGCAAATCTAGACCCTATCGACAAGTTAGTCGGCAAATTTAGACAGTTAGTCGGCAAATGTTGTTATGGCAGTCGGCAAATGATGTAATGGCAGATATTGTTTTTATAATCAGCAAAAATTGGGATATGCTGTTGTAGTTTTATTCCCTTCATATATTAAAGATTGTGATTTTATTATTGACTGCACAGAAAGGAAATTTTTATGCATTTTATATCCAAGTTTTGTGCATTTAGTGGAATATTAACTTTAATCTTATTTTTTATATAAGACAGACACAGCTTGTTTTAACGAAAATGATGACTTCTTCCTATTATGGCATACTGACGAGTTGGGTGTCTGAAGTTTTACTTCAGCCTTATTCAAATAAGCATGTAATAAGGCTCACTTATCATATGCTTATTTTTAAACAAATTGGGAATCTATGTTGATAAATGTTTATAATCATTGTTTAAAAAACAAAATTTTAATACGTTTTGTAGGAAAGCTTCAAACTAACCAAAATTTTATTTTAAAAAAATGAAATAAAAAGCAGGTATTTTAACAATGGTATTTCTAGAAAAGTAAAGAGAAAATAAATTGATAAAAAACAATCTGGCAGAGTCCAAGGCCGGCGCGATAGGGGGGTGTGGGTGCCCCCCCCCATTAATGAAATTTAATCGGCAAATTTGACCCTTTATGACTAGTTAGTCGGC